TATCAGTGACTTTATGGAAATAAGCTCCATACTTTTAGCTGCTTAATCATTACGCTTTAAAAAGCCACACCCCATCCAACAAAGGATTTTGAAAATTATGTATGCAAAGAGAAAAATAATTTTAGTAACATGTTTTAGGTAACTGTAGGTTATAGAAAGAGGAAATGCGATTACTTGAAGTCGCAGTTTCAGCCCGGGTGGATGCTGATATGAGCATTGTACCAATTTACAGCGAGTTTGGTTCTAGGTTAGGAGACAACGGTGGTATAAGTGAGGTGTTAAGAGATAACCCCGAACTGAATATGAACAGCGATCTAATTCTACCTTAGCTGCCTTTTTACTATTAATTTTGAATGTGATAAAGACATAGGATTAATCCTGCAGGTCCTTACACATGCAGAATGAATAAATTAAGATTTTTTTTCCCCCCTTAAGTAGGATTTGTTTGTTTTTGTCAGAGCCCTTTCAAAGTACAAGGAGAGGTCACAGCTGTTCTTTTCATTCACATGTAATCTGGTAAAACAAACAACATATGTATCGGGCATAAGAGTTTAGCGCTCCGAACACAGGGATTTGTATATGAATTTCAAAACTGTAAATAACAAATTATGCTTAACCTTTATCCTACCGCCCATCAACCTGATTTGTTCGTAAAGATTTGTGCTGGAATTGAGGTTTTCATGTGCTACATTGTTCAGAAAAATAACACTCTCTCCAAGTGCAAGATAACAAGGTCCACGTTTACATTCGCAGCTTTAATTCTAATTGTCATGTCTCCTAGATTTACATAATTAGTCCATTTACATAATCACTTAAGACCTTCATCTGCACTCCAATAAAAGTAGACCTGACCTGAAACCTTGCTGACAAATCACACTTCCTTCCATTTTGTACTGCAAGCATACAGGACTGACCATGGATGAGGGCACACAGCCTTTTCTGGAGAGCTTCACGGCACCTGAGTGAGCTTGGTGGTTCAGCACAGAAATGCTCACAAGCATTCTGCTGGCAGTCCTTGCCGCCACAATATATCTGGAGCAGATAGGGCCTGGGGAGAGGAGGTGCAGAATATGGGATGTTTACATCTGGTCCAAAGGACTTTTGTTCCATCAGAGTGCAAACATAGTTGTGATGTGATTTACCCTGTGAGAAAGAACATCCAAATCCTGAGGATTAAAAAACAAACCCAAAACATGTCACTGAGTTTCTTGCAAGTCAAGTGGTAAGATTAGCTGAATACTTTGTAAATACTAATCAATTTCTCTTTCTTTCTCTTTTTTTTTTCCTTGAAAAAAAAAAAAGCTACAGAAACCCATCAGTTTGCACACTATCACAAGGAGATTTGCTTTTGCATCGGGCATTAAACTTCCCTTTGACTTTCTCAAAGCACACAACCTTTACCTCTCATTCTACTCTAAAAATACTGACAGTTCAGGGGAAATATGCTTGCCAGACTGAAACACGAGAATAGTTCAGTGCAGAATAGGTGTTTGCAATTCTGTTGGATGACAGGAGCAAAGATGAGTTTCCTGCAGGAAATGAGTAACTCCTGGGATATGGGTTATAGCTTGTCGCCAGATAAGTCACGACAGAAAGTTGTCATCTGATAGCTTTTGGATGGCCTCTTTAGTTAGGTCAGACCTTAAAACCAGTTTCCAGTGGACAAATACTTGCAACAGAAAAGCCACTGTGATTGTTAGCCATCTTCTTATACAGCTTCATGTCAATACTGTGTGAGCGTGGCATTGCTGTCTGTTCCAGGAAGAAATTAAATTATGATACTTGCTTGAAGTCTTTTGTGTGTGTGTGTGTGTTGTGCATAGTCTACAAAGTAGCTGGGTCAAAGATTTCAGCAGACGCTCCTGTTCGAAACACAGACAGGAAATCAAAAATATTTGGAGGCATCTTTTCAAAACAGAATTGTCCTGAGTTGACATCTTCATAGCACGGGTCAACAAGGAGATGGTTTCTGCATTTCAGGCATCGGTGTTTCCTTTTGTACTTACCTGCCAATCCTTCTAATTAGCAGATTACTTGACAAAATCAGTAGGACTCAGCAAAATTATCTTTTTAATCTACGCTTGCCAGAAGAGTTCTGGTTTCCAGATATCCTGAATAGGATAGTCCTTAAGGACTTCTCTGCATTCGGAGCCACAGAACAAAGGAACAGTTTGGTATCTGGACTTAAAGTTGTTTCCTCTCCTACCCTGAATGCTGGAAGTCCTGCTTGTCACTTGGTCTTGATCAGTGGTAAGAAGGCCACTTTGAGGCAAATTTAATTGGCGAAGGAAATGAGATTTTCCTCCTAGAGCTATGAAATATCTTGAATACATTTAAGGAATTGCTACGTGACATTTTAAACCATCTTCTGGCTTTAGAGCAGTAGGCAATCCTGAAAGGCTGAAAGGAGTTCAGAAGTCCGTACTCAGTGGCTGCTCCCACCTCACTGATTCTTGAAGGATCCAAGCAAGGTAAATATGACAGCTCTCCTACCTCAGACTGGAAACTATGCCTGGACACACCAGCTCCCAGGAAGCCCCCTTCTTGGCAACAGCTTTATCTTAGACACCTACAGAGCGTGCACTTGAAGCTCTGTCTTGCCAACTTGATGGATGTCACGTAGAGTGTGTAACAGCTTTTGGAGGGAAGAAACGTAAGTGATGTTCCAACCATGACCACAAAACCCTGCTGTGGAGGGAACTGATGACTGCTGTGGGGTGCGCTGTGGTGGAAGCACGGCGATGTATTGCGTGCAGGTAGCTGCCAGGAGGAGGATCTTGGAGAACCTTACCTATCAGTAATTGATTAGTGCTGGGTATGCGCATATCCCAGCCAGCCTCCGTTTTTGTTACAGTCCTGCACCCCTGGGAATTCTGTGCACACAGGGTGCACTGCGTGTGCTATAGCCCAAATTCAAATCTCCAGCAGCCTCAAGGCTTACATGTGCTGTAGCACACAAAGAAATGTTCGGCTCTGGCAGATATGCATATACACCTCTCCTGGAGCTCTCCTTGCTGTATCCTAAGTAACTTTTCATTCACTCTCAGGCATGAAAAGCTTTTCCACGGGTTTCTTGTGCAATTAAACTAACAATATCTGATAGCATAAGGATGTTCAATCTTACAAATAAACAGCTTGTTTTAAAGCCATGCCTGCACAGCAAGTGCAGATATTTAAGAACCCAAGTAAAATTTGCAACGCATTGCCAGGCAAGCAGTTTTAAGATGGAGGTAAAGCCTCATCCCTAAAAGCAAAAATATGGACCAATCTACACAGAAATAAAAATTGGCAAGGAAAGATCACATTTGCTCTCGAAGAATTCTGTACATTTCCAGATTACAGCCAAGCAAAACCCAGGTACACATCTGTCTCCAATCTGCATACTTGCAGGATGTCTCTTCTGCCAATTCATCCCTTAAATAATTCCTGGGTAATCACGTTGTTGTCATATACAGTTGCTCAAACTTACCCAATGTCTCATAAATAATAACAGTAAACAAAGCCAGGGAGTAGGTGGTGCATAGGGTGATGGGAAAATAAGGATTAAGGAGGCTAAAAAAAAAAGAGAAAAAAAGGCTGGGGAAATAGAGCAGAGCAGAAGGGGAGCAAAAGAATAAGCTCTGAGGAAAGTCGGTGCCAATAAATGTAATATCCTACTCTCAAGAAAAAGAGAATAAAGCACAGATGGAAATGGGAGGATATGTTCATCCAAATCCATTATAGGAAAGCAAGCTGATTGCTTGCTCTTATGTTTCTTTACGGTGTTTTAACACTGCTTCTGTGTAAAATCATGCATTGCCATTGGTGGGGGAAAGGTGTACCTGGAATTCAGATGGCCCCTCAAAAGGGAGCATGTGCTGTACGAATAGTGAAGCACAGAGAGGGGAAATAAATGATGGTGGCCATCCCCAGAGAACTCGCAGGCCTTCTGAAAGCCAGGGGTCGAATTCAGCCTCCACTCTCCAGTTTAGTTAAACAAGCTACAACTGTTAGCAGCAGGTTTGCTTTCTTTCAACTCAAACTCCAGTCTTACCTCTGCCCTTTTGTTGCAGTGAAAGGCCAGCACGTACGTATATGAACACAGAATTATTTTATTTTCTGTAATGATCAAACCCAAATGTTACCTTACCTCTGCCAGCTTTGTGTAGGGTGATGTGCCATCTTGCACATTTATTTTCCTGGAGTGATTCCCAGAAGTATGCTATGCTTTTTCTTGCTCGTGTCTCGCTAGCTTTATTTATGAGTTGTGTACATCAGGTTTTCGGTCCCTGGGGACGGGCCTACACAGGAAATCTGTGGGCCATATTTAATACATACAAGTACGAGGGTAGTAAAAAGCACGATGATACTCCAAATGATCTAATCCAAAATTTCAGCTCGATCATGGCTAGGTTAGCGCCCATAGTTTTAAACCACAAGCGCCTCTATCTGCTTTGTCACACAGGAGGAAAAGATGTGGTAAAGATTAGTAAGGCTAAAAGAAATTGTACTTAGCACTCACTGATGCTCTTCAGCTGCTGAATATTTAGAAATTAAAGTCTCCCGATACACCTTTGTAATAGAGTTATGTAGTGCTAGAGGACTGAAAAATGAAACACCATTGCCTGATTCTCTATTTGGAATACCTCACCTCAGTAAGCCTCACGTCTGCAAAAGCCTCTGTTAGTTCTTGTGCAATTTGATGAGTTCATTTTTCTAAAACTGGACACATGGAGCTTGGGGGAAACAAATTTAACATAATTTTTATTAACATAAATTTTACAAAAAATTAACATAATTTCTAGCTGCTTAGTAGAATTAAGAGTAAATGATTCTTACCTGGATTGTTTTAAGTGAAGTGCGGGGAAAAATCTTCCACGTTCAACATCCGCATATAATCTGAGACACCAAACTTGCAAGTAGAATTGAAGAGAATGCTTTGGGGAGGTAAGTTCAGCTCCAGATACCAAAACGTGATTAAGGACAACGCGCCAACATTTCCAGGAGACTTCCCTGTCAAGTGGAAACAAAGAGCAGATTTTCTCTTGATTTACAGAATTGCAATTAAGTCATCTCTGATGACTGAACCTAATAGCAGTATCATCATTTTGCAGTTATTGATTCTTACTGATTGCGTAGAAAGTATATTTTTAAAGATAACTTTTTTCTCGCTTAATAGGTGCATGAATTGGCTGGAAAAATAAATCAAGATAAGGCCCTTTTTGTCCCATGCCATCACAGCTGGAGACAAGCATTTTGCTGATGAAAGCTGATTGGTATCACATTATCCCCTTGATTACACCTGTGCAATGCCATTAATTGAGAAATAGCACGACCTGGGGAAACCGAATGGCTGGTAATGTACGGGAAAGCTGATCTACAAGGCTGGATGTACGTGTTGGCAGTGCAATGAGGCTCGCTCTGCGGCGATTCAGGCTGCCTTAGATTTTGAGTTTTCAAACAAATCAAGCTTGTTTGTGTTGCTCATGAGTTTATGGTCAGTTCTTGGTTGGTTGATTGGTATTGTTGTATTTTTTTTGTTGGGGGGAGGATTTGGTTTTCTTTAATGAGAACAAAATCACTCGGAGGCATGACGAGGCGTGCTTTGCGAATGGTTACGCTCAGCTGTAATCTGCCTGGCGCAGTGCTCGGCGACTTGCGGGCAGAAAAATGCACTCATCTGAACTGGATTTAGGAGCGAGGAACACTTCGATTTGGGGCAGCCGAAGGAAAATTGTATAACACTGTTGTGCTGTCCTGAGCAGGAGGAGAAGCCAGTGAATTGCATGCTTTTTCCATCTTTGTAATCAGTTTGTTATGCGCAGAGCAATGCCGTGGGATTAAGCATTTTGTCTGCTGGGTTTCCCCTGGCAGCATGTGAAGAAGTTCATTATAAGTGCTTATCACATGATCCACTTAATCAAACCGCTGGAACTCGGAGAATAAGTCACTCTAACACGAGCCGCCAGAGCCGCCTCATGAACCACTTACTGATACGCTCCTCCCGGGTCAGGGCACAAAGAGTTTCCTTGTACCTCGGGGCGCGATGCAGGAAGTTCATTATCCGCAGTCCGAATTCAGACGGGAAGAAAGGAAGCAGGGCTTACAAAGAGGCGACAGATGATAGGCGCAGGGTTCTGGTTAGCCTCTCAAACCCCTCGCCTAGCGGGACTGCGAGCTCCTCCGAAGAGCAGCCTTCTGGTTCTCTGTGTTACGCACGGGGCGGCTATCTGCACGGCTGGCTTCAGCGTTGTGAAATGCAGATGACACAGGAGAAAATACTTTCCTTCTCCTGATTAGATGCTTAAATGGAAGCACGTGGGGAAAAAGCAGGAAATCAGAAGCAAAACCATGCTTTTAGCAGGGCACGGTGTCATACCAGATTGGAGGTTGCTTTGTGTGGGGACGCACAGGCTGAGCCTGAGGTGGGTCTCCAGATGAATTTTTCGTACTGGAAATTGCCACTGGAAGAAGAAGCATCAAGTAGGACGAGGCGACATGCTCTGTAAGGCATAAAAATCAGGGAGGTGTGCAGGACAGAGTAGCACGGGCAACAGAAACAAAAAAGCAAGCTGGTTTGATGGGCTTTATGCTTTATTTCCTAGGGTAGCTCCAAGTGAAGCAGGTCAAAGGGTTCATGCCATTGTCCAGGTACTGCTTTGAGAAAACAGTGAAGCCTGTCTCTCCAGTGCTGAAGTCCAGCCAGCCCAAAGCTTTAAAACATCCTGCTGATTACTGCTGGGCTCAGCCTGGAGTGAGCACAGGGTCTGGACCACGTCCTCCAACAGACGTGAGGTTTGGGATGCACGGATTTCATTCCTACTGGCAGAGTTAGGCGGTGATGCCGTGTCGCTGCTCTCCTTTAACCCTGGCTGTCTCAGCTCAGTAAAACCACGGGGCTCTTGGCCACAGCGGCATTGATGCACCAAGCTGGCACTGCTGGGGCTGCGTACCAGCAGGGATGGTGCTGCTTCAGTGGGTTGGTTTCCAACTGATAAGTTAAAGGAGGACACGCGAGCCTGAAGGAAAATGCCATTTTGCTGTCTTTTTCTTCATTTTAAAAACAGGTAAAATCATTTAGCATTTACTCCTTTAACATAAAACACGTAACCAAAAAAAAAGATGAATCTATCCTAGCTTGTTAATTTAGCTGCTTCCTTCAATTTGATCACATTATAATTAATTTCTTCCTTCTCACCCTTTTATCACACTCCCCGTCTGTCTTCCCCGTTTCTGTTGTGCCTATTCAAAGGCCCCATCTCATCTCTTCTGGGACCGTCTCACTCCCGGGTTTCTGCTATTTCAGCTTCTGCACCAGACGGTGCTTCAGGAAAAAAGCATCTCTGTTGTAGGAGTGGGAGGAAAATGGACCCATAAAAATACAAATTACTTGCGTGTGCAGAGTACTTGTCAGTAAGCCTCAGATAACTTCACCTAAGTGGCCCGTTTGCTCTCAGCGCCGCTCCTTGGGTAAGGCACCTGCGGCAGAGCGAGCTGATGGCGTTGTGCTGTCTGCAGCAATTCGGCAGTGAAATGGAGATAAATGTTCTCCTTCTAAATGATTTCTCAGTGCCTTACGCGGTACACATGAGTGAGCTGCACACAGCATCCACGGAGAGTTTAAGCGATGCTACCAGACCCTAACCTCGGTGGCTTTGGTCAGTACCAAGCCAGGCTGAATTCTCTCTGCCAGCCGAGGGATGAAAGGCTCTTTAAACGCATTAGCTACTCCCTGGGCTTTTCAGCTCGATCCCCACTGGTGTTATCTTTTTTAGAAGTCTTGCTCGCTAAATTGCTTCCTTTGAAGACCTGAGCAGCATCCTGCAGCCCCCGCTGCTCGCTGGAAATCCCACGCGCGGAGCACGGCGATGCCAAACGCGCCCGGCACAAAGCGCCGCGCTGAGGGGGCTGTCGCCGGGGGTGGCTGAGGAAAAATAGAGCGGACACGTTGTAAGAACCGTCGGCCCGAGGAACAGAAGATAGCTTTGAAGGAAGCCTCAAAGTCAGCATGTCCAGAATGGGAGTCCTTTAGGAAAAAAAAATAAAAGGAAAATTTAGAGAGTGAAACACGGCCAGAATGAGCTCACTGCAGGTGGCGTTGGTCATGAGGTTTTAAAATCACTTTTAATTATGAACTATTTCAGTCATTATTTTTTGTCCAATGTCTACCGTTACCACACCTTTTCCTTTCCCTAGTGGAAAGGACACTCTGTGTGTGTGCTCTGGGGCTTCCCCACAGCATTTTGCCTACCTTAGGAGGCTGGCTCTCCCCTCTCCCCTTCCCCAGCACCCTGTCCCGCTCAGATGTGTCCATGGGATTTTGCCTGGGATCCCTGGGCCTACCCATGAATCCCCAGGGACCCCTACCAGGGTTGGGGCGAGGGGACGGCCCCACAGGCCGGGGGCCGGGGCAGGGCAATCCTGGGCAGGCCGGGGGGAGGCTGCAGAAAGCTGTGGCCTGCCCGGCAGGGGCTGTTTCCCCAAACACGAGGTATTTATTATGTGGTGATTATTAAACCCACAGGTGTGGGCAGAAGAGAGGGACAGGGGAGGTGTTTGCTCTGAGAGATAACACGCACCTGCTCTGCGTGCCATGCAGGAGGGGCTTTCCCGGGGCTGTTTTCCTGCCTTACCCACTCGGCCTCTCACCCCGCCAGGCCCTGTATCTCCCTGCCCTTAACACCCTCCCTCACATTTCCCTCAGCCTTAGCGTTCCCCCGAGCCACCAGCCCAGAGTTGTGCAGCTCTCGGGGCAGCATTTCATGCCCTGCACACGGGGTTGTATGGGATTACCTTCGTACCACCTGTGTGTTTTCAGCCTCTTCTCCCTCACCTGCTTTATTATTTCTGTTTCGCTGTCCTCGATCCCTACTTTCGTTGTTTTCTCCTCCCTCTCCCTCCTCGCAGCTCCCACCATCTGTCTCTCCCCAAATACAAAGCTTTAGGGGAAGGGATTCACGAGGCTGCTCGCTCGTTACTCGCCCTCTCCCCATCGTGGTTTCTGTCCTTGTAGGACGCTCTAACTAATGTAAAGATCAATGGATCCTGGGAATTGTTATTCAATTAAAAATAAATAAATAAATAAAAAATCCCTGCAGTTAAATAGATGGGGCTCTTTGTACTTCCGAAACGCCAATGCTTTATTTTTTTCTCCCTCACTCTGCAATCGTGGTTTTTTCAGACAGGGATCAGCGAAACAGAAGAATAGAGATGGTCGCCGGAGCATTTAATGCGACCTCGTGCATCGCATGGTGTGGGAATTACTTAATGAAATTCCCTGGCCCAAACCAAGCAAATCTAGAGCACGTATTTTAGGATGACAGCCAAAACGATGAAAGGAATTTACTACCCAGCCTTGCTAATCATCTTGAGCGCTCAACTGGTCTCCCTAACACGCGGCTCTGTGAGCAGTGATAGTAACGTGGCCTCATTTCCTACAGGTTCCTCCTCCAGACTTCCCACCCACGCTGAGCACCCCAAAAAACTCCTCCCAGTCCCCTCCCAGCTCTACTAGGGCTGGAGGGCGATGGGGCACGGAGCTCTCATTCCTTCCTGCCAGCCTCTGGGAAGAGACGGAGGCCCCAGATCGCAGCTGCCTCTCCTGCCATGCATTTCCCTGGCCTCGTTGGCTGTGCCTTCAGCGTCTTGTGCCGTGGTCTTGTTGCCAGATGACACCCCTCATTCCCAACCTCAAGCTCCCTTCTGTGCTCCCCCAAGTATGAACATTGCTAAAAAGTGCATGTTGTGAATGCTGGGATTATTTTTGAGCGTTAAAATGCTTTAGGTATCTTGAAGTACCTGAAACAGCTGCACAGGGCTGGCAGACGTGCCACAGCACTCCAAGAAAGTTGTGTTTTCTAGCACAGAGCCTGGAAGCTGAGCTCGAAGTTGTACGACCCTCCAAGTGACCCTAAATGCCGTGTTTAGGTAACCAAGCCTCTTTCCCTTCCCCCCCTTTTTCTTCACTTCGTTGACCTTTTAAGAAGGATTTCTGTCATGATTTTAGACTCGTGACCGTATACTAGAAAATCATTCTCCTAATTAGGAGCTTAGTTTTTCATTTTATCATATGGAAAATACTGCTCCTACCCCCAAAGAAGACGGCAAGAAGTGCCACTGCGTAATAGCATCGTGCCTTGCCTGGGGACTGCCAGCACGGCAGGTGTTGGCCTCTTTCAGTTGCTGAGCTTCCCTCTAGGAACTGGGCAGAAACACAGCAAATACCACATTCAAAGTTATAAGATTCGACAACGCTGGATACACCCTTCTCTTAGTGCTCTCAGGCAGCTGTGGCTCTGTATGCAAATGCCTGATAAAGGAAAATCTGTCCCGAGAATAGCTGCAAGGTGGTTCTTTGTTTCTCGTCAGCAGCACGAAGCACGTCCTCTATCAACACACCACACAGGCACGGCTTTCATGGAAAGCTAATTAAATAACTCGGGCAATGTAACAGGAGCATCAACTTCTGGTTAATTTACTTTTCAGACTGCTAAACACGCTTGCTTTTTTGTGAAGCTGTATTTGGGTCACTTCGTAACAAATAATAAAGGGGATCTTGGAAAGAGCCTGTAGTGGGAAGGCGTGAAGTGCTCCGCAGCAGAGCAGGTTGTTCTTGGGACTGCTCGAAAGATGACGGCTGCAGAATTTCAAGCCAACGGGGCGCACTGTTATCTCAGCAAAGGTTAAAGCACTGAAATAAAGAAGCCTTACTGAAGTAATGCTTATGTTCTCTGCAAAAACACGCTCAGGTTTTAGCAGATGTGATGATGTTGAGCCGTCCCGGTTGCCAACACCCCGTGGCTCTCCAGCGTCTTTGATTATTTTATTATTCCATACTGCCTGCACGTTGTAGGAGTCGGTGTTATTTCTCCTAACAGTCCCTGGTTTCCAGCTGGCAATCCCTCTCTGACATGCTGTTTTAAACAAGGGGTGAGGAGCAGCCATGAAGCTGAAGGCCCGCTGTAACCGTCCAGCAGCACTCCAGGGCACTGCCTGCACACGTAGCGTTGCACTTCGCTGTCCCTTTGCGGGCTGCTGCTGTGACATGCCCAAGGTGTTAGAGGCTGTGCTGTAAGGAAGCGGAGCTCCAGAGACTGCAGATCCAGAAAGCCTCTAATTGAAGCCAGTGTCTTTATGCAAGGCAGTCTGAGAAAAACTTGCGTTACTCAACCCTTCCCACTCCTTGTTGTTCCCGGCAATGAGAAAAACTGACGCAACGCGTAAGGTAGCCTTCCAAAAGGCAACTGTATTTAATAGTGCATGTACAAAGTGACTGTATGTTAATGCTGTACACGGCAGGAATGTCTGTAAAGAAACCCTGAGCACAAAGGAGGATGTAATTTTCATTTTACACTTATTGCAACATTATTTCTGGTATTTGTTTGCTATATTGACTAATAAAGGAATATGTTCAAAACAGATGTTAAAATAAAGCCGGACATTCTTTCCATTTGCAGCTTATTAAAAAACCTAGGAGAAAAGAGTTCTGCCCCATCAGCTTCAGAAATAGATGTTTAACATGGTGGGGAACAAGCTGAGCCTGAGTTACCCGAGACAGCCAATTCCTTGAGCAGAAAGAGTGTCTTCTGTCATCAAAAAGAGCCATCTGGAAGAAGGCTGGCTCCCCGCCAAAAGCAACTCTTTAACAACAAAGCTTCTTGTGCACTTTAAGTGATAATGTTCATAGCGGCACAACCTGGAGCGTCGGTAAAGGCCCTATTGGGGGAGCAACGTACTCCTCCTCTCTCAGCAGCCGCAGAAGGATGTTCTTCTTATTCTTCGGCCAGTTGTAAATGTGAGTGTTCTGCAGCCAGGTAGGCACGTGTTCCTGAAAAAAAAAAATATAAGAAAAAAAAAAGAGTGAAATCCTATAAATCCTCCTGAATCTGTACCAGAACCTCGCAGATTTCATTAGACTCTGCCAAGCAAGATTTCATTTTGTCTGTTCTAGACACTTCCCGTAACAACAAGAAATTTTAATTTGGCTCCAAAATCGTATTTGGGTTCCTAAATAAATGAACTTCGAATGATCTCACAGCTTGCCTGTCTCTCTTTCTGTTCTGCCATCATGTTGGCTAATTTCACCACGTTTCAAAGGGATTCTGAGCTCAGTGATAGGCGTCTATAGGCTTGGGAAAATAAACACTGAGGAGACAAGGGAGACATTTAAGCCCCTACCAGGGGAAGGCTGCAACCCATGATGTTTCCCCCTTAGTAGCTGCTGAAGGACCCACACAACGTGTTCAAATACAGAGGTTTACCAAGCGAGCCCTCTATCTGTCTTTGATAAGAAACTCCATTTTCTGGAGGAAGGAAATGCAGCAGACCTGCTCTGTCTGGACTTCAGCAAAGCATTTGATGTAAGCCCACATGGGAAATCATTAGTTAAGCCTGAAAAGATGGAAATTAGTGTGAGAAATGGATAGTAGGTAAGAAACTGACAAGTGGGGATATGAGGACAGAGGCACGCTATGCCCAGAGACGGGCTCTGTGCCTTTCTTCCAGAGCTGGTCCTGTGGCCGATTGCATTTAATACCCCTCCTGAATGAAGTTACCTGCATGCTAACCAGCCCTGGCAGTGATTTTAACATGAGGGAGGTGCGCGGGATGGATCAGAGGAGTAGGAATAGGGCAGAGTGCAGAGAGCAGGGCCATGTGTTTAGGGCAGAGCCTGGTTTGAGCTGTCCTGCCCGCCGTGGCACAAACCCTGCTCACGACCTCCCTGCTCTGCCTGTAAGCCCCAGCCAGGGAGAGGCAGTGAACATCCTGGGGCAATCACAGCTAAATGCTCCGTCATCGGGTGACCAAATCAGGAAGGTAAGATTTTAGTTGATTGTCTTGATGCAAGCCTTGAACCAGCAGGACCCAGATTTCCTTTATTAGTGTACGATGGGAAGCTGGAAAGGCCAGTTCCACCTTAACTCGGTGTCATGTTTTTTCCCCTCATTATTCAATTTCCCGATGAACGTTCTTTGGATCGCACCGATCTGTTCCCCTTGGAGGTCAGCTAACTTTCACATACCAGCAGTGCCTCATGATCTACTTCAGATGAGAGCAACTCATCTAGCATCCACGTCCCTAAGTGATGCCTCCCATACCTTGCTTCCCTGCTCTTTTCCAGTGTCAGGTACAGCAGGACTTACACACAGAGAGAAAAGTCTGGTGTAAAAAAGACAAAATGGAAGTATTTTGCCTGCCAAAATCATCTCACTGTATATGGCATATTTCAGCCCTGGAATACGTGCGAGTTTTACAAGCTCTGGTACCTAACCTCCTCTACACTCGTTCGATGAAGGTAAATGATGTACCAAAGAAATGCGTGAACGAAGAGAGAGAACCTTAACATCACTAGAAAGTGCTGATCTGCATAATTTGGGTGAGAAAGGCAGCCCTGGAATAACTGGAGGGTGGTGTGGACTGCGGAGTGATTGGCAGGAAGGCTGCCTGGAGCCTGATGCTTTGATAAGAGCAGCTGAATAAACCAGCCCTGGAAATTCCTCGTTCACTGTCCGAGAGCTGCTGCTATATGCTGTATGTCTTCTGATCCATAAAGTTCAGCCAAATTTAACGTGAGTTTATTGTTCTCGTGTTTGCCTTGAGGCCCAGAGAAGGCTGTAGTGCCTGCTGTGCCAATTGTCTCTGCAGCCCCTCACATCACGCGCGCCACATGGCTGCGGGCTGTAGGGTCTGCTCGCATAGCAGCCACTCGAGGAGCCCCCGAAATTAGGAGCAGCCCTGCCCTTTGCCCTCACACCGAGCTGCAAAGACCAGCCGAAAACCCCGAACAGTTTGCTGCTTTGGTCCGCCCAATTCCCAGCGGGGCTGTCTCCAAGCTTTTCACACTTAATGCAAGTAACAGACCGCAATCAGTCAGGAAGGAAGCCGAGTGACATGAAATACCAGAGGTAATGCTCAGTCCAAAGAATCCCACATATTTTACAAACCCAGGAACATGTTTTCAAAATTACGAGCTTACACTAAGCCAGGGCCTAAATAAAGAACTTCATCACGCTAAAATCCACAAGTGCTGTGGGATTTCACAGCCCTACAGTCAGTGATAACATTGTTGAAATGTTGACTTAGGATCCAAACTCTGGGCACCCAAATAAATATAAAGAATCTGGCCACCCTCCTCCAAAATGCAGCTGTACCTAGGGGTAACAGCAGTGCCACGCACCATTTAGCAAGGAAAACTGAACACAAACACGATATATCCATTATAAGTTTGGGGCAGAATGCCTTTTCTCCACTGTAACCGAAGCCATTTAACATTTCTGATCTTTTAAAAATCCGAGAGATTCTCTCAGCATGAAGAAGAAGGGTAAAGGAATCTGTTGCCTTACGTGTTTCTTATTCTCCAATGAATCTTCAATAAGGAGGGCAGATGAAATTGCAAGTCCTAAAAAACCTTATAGTTTGCCTTTGATGGGCCCATCAAAGTTCAAGCAATGGTCTAGCACTTTAATATTTATTATCCTCTTTATTTTTATATTCTCAACCCGCCCTCTTCCAGATCCTCACTTCAAATCGGTCATAAATCTCCCCCATCTCACTCATCGGTACTACATCTGGATAAAATTATAAAAGGGTTAATACAAAAAGTATGCTTGCTGGATAGATCGTCTCTCTGCATTTAAATTCTTTCAATGCTCAAGACAATCTGAGTTTTAGTTATACATTCATCCTCAGAAACACATTTATGTATTTAGGTTTATATTGTGGGTGAAATGCTTTTACTTGTATGTACATAAAACTGCAAATTTTTCATGCAAAATACAGTGTGGAATATTACTAGTGGGATATTAAGAATCAAAAAATGAAGCTTTTGGCTTTTAAGACTTCTTCTGGTGCATTGCGATCAAAATAATACTTCTAATGATCTGAGAAATATATACATATTTCATGTCATAATATATACATGTTTGTATGTTACCTTTTTGGCGTTTGGAAAAAGCACGGGGATGAATCTGAAGTTCATGCTTCCTTGCTGTATAAACTCGATCTGCATCTAGAACAGAACAAATTGCCAGGTTTATTGTGAGGAAGGTTATGTTCATTTTGCTTTGCATGCATCCGAATCCTATGCATAAAAACATGGGTTGCTTACTTAAACTGCTCTTCTGTTAAGTGATTTGATCTATTGCTGCTGGACTCTGGGTATCGTTTTGTTTGGCCACTTACTCTGATTCTTCTTTACTACAGAAAGGATACAGGAAAGATCCGTCAACATTTCTTAAGCATTTAGTTCTGTGGCATGAAATCATTGTGGTTTTAGCTGCAGTTGCAAGTCCCATGAAATCCCTCTAGAACCAATGAAGCTTGACTCAAGGCCCCTGTTCAGACTCCAATGGGGTTAAAGTTTGCAGCCGGAGACGAGCTGTGTCCAAGCTAGGTCCCAGCCTGTCCCCTGTGTCCCAGTTCCATGTCTGAGCTGGGGCTCAGCCTGTCCCCCGTGTCCCCAGGACACCGGCTGAATGAGCCACAGGCTCCTAGGGGATGAGAGGTGAGCAAAATGCTGCTGGGAGCTCACCCCTTGGTGCCAGCTTCTCACAAGTTTTCAGGATTAAACGGGACAATCAGACCAGTTATAGGGTGAGAAAGGGTGAATTTCACGGCCCTGTGAGCTCTGCTGGGCCAAACATCCATCCTGTGGCAGACCGCAGAGATGGGTCTCTGTGCCCCACGCTGCTCCCCTGCCACCCTGTGCCCCCAGGGCCCCCTTTGCAGCTCTGGCCTTTGCTTTGCAATTTCATGTTTTAGCCAGGAAGGTCAGGCAGCATTAGATAAGATTGTGCTCGGGGCTGGATGATGGAGCAACGTGGGCTTGTGAAGGTGCGGGAGGAAATATACACAGAACAATACAGAATATGGAAGAAAAAGATGAGCACGTTTAATAGGATTTTTCTTTCTTGAACCTCTTAGCAGATGTTAATGAGCATACGGAGCTGATGAGAGGGAGGATTAATGAATTCCAAAGGGGGGTGTTTAACTATGGGGATTAGTGAAAACAAAGCAAAGAACCTGCCATTTGGAGACAGATTTGTCTTTTGAGGAGAAGAGACAGAGTCTTTGTAAAACAGTAAATGCATGTCCTTGCTTACCATCCTGTGGATGTATTTAGTATGTAAGCCGTGTTCATCCCTGTCCAGCTGGGATTCAGCCCCTTCCACATCCTGTTTGTATTTTGGACTGATTGCTATGATTATCATCACCGTCTTCTGTTAGGGAGAAAAGCACTTTTATGAAATTGGGAAATGCAGCGTGTTTGGTAGAGGCAGATCGGAAATCTGCCAGTTTGTGTTTTAAGTGATCTTTATGTTCTTGGCAAACGAGAGAGGATCTCATTCATTCTGGCAGGAAACACAGGAGAACTCGAACACTCGTCCTCTTTATTTCTCGAGATCGCATAATATAGAAAATCGAAATGTCAGGAGATATATTAGCAGCTTCCAGTTTACAGTTGGAATCCCTGTAATAAAAAGCTACTTTTTTATCAGCGCAGAGTGCATATGTACATACACAGAAAAGTTATCCTCAAATTCAGACCCAAATGTTTTCCAACAGCTTATGGAAAAGTGCATCTTTTCAGCCATCTATGGCTCTTTATACACAAAGCCACTACAGGCAGTTGTCTGGGGAAACTACACCTAGGGCTTTTGGCAGTAGAAACAGGGACTTTTCGTGCTGATCCTTAGCATGGGGTGTGCAGAGAGGTGGCTGTGCAGAGAGCAGGGCTGTGGAGGACAGTCTGAGCAGGTTTAGGGGTACCTGGTGGCTCTGTGCCACCTTGCTGTGGGCTGAAAGCAGTGCTCCTCACCCTCCTGGGACAGCCCGGGTCTCACCGTGACCTGTTTAATCCCACTGACCTCAAGTTTCCACAGAGGGGGTGTCCTTCATATCTGGGAAATCTCTCTGCTCTTAGTGGTGGGCCAGTGAAGAGGTTCGCAGATGAAAGCCTCCTACTTTTGTTTATCTAGGGCCTGTCTTTTATCCCCGCCACATCAGGCCGTGTAAGGCTTCCAAGTATGTGGCTGAGAGTCAGCCTGGCACCTAATTAACTCTTTCCTTCTGTGCAATATCAAGGGAATTTGCCCCACCACAGGGTCAAATACGGTAAAGAACCATTATCCCTTGCACTGACTTAACATACTCCAGAATTACTTTTGCTTCTGCCTGATGTGCGTGTAAGCATTTACAGATGTTGAGGGTTTGCAGAGACATGCCTGATTGCACACATCCCCCTGCTTGTGTCCAAGCAGTCCTTTCTTGCTCACATGTGTAAAGGTTTAGAAGTCAGAAACTGCCTCCACAGGCACTAGAGGAAAACAGACGTCTCCAGGGGGGCAGCCAGAGAAGGATCCTTATGTGGAAGGGGGGAATTGCTCTCTGCACATATCAGGCTCTCCTACTGACTGTGCAGGAGTCCCTAGGGGGTTCTGCCCGTTTGTATTTTAAGTGTTAATGATGTTCTTGGCAAAAGCAAATTCACCGTGGCTTCTAGTTTCCATACCTCAATTATACACGGTGAGTCCAAGCCTAATTTGGCCTGACGAAAACCCCAAAATGCATGACTGCACTGCCACAGCACAGCCCCAGGCTGGCTCTGCTTGCAGTAGCACCAGGCCTGCCAGGCACTGGAGCTAAGGTGTCCTGCTGGATCACCTTTAGGAAACCTGTGTAGTGCTGGGCTGGGGAGATTGAGCTTCTTTGCTCGGGTTTGGGGAGAGCCCACCACTTTGTCACCCTGTTCCCAAGCCACAGAGATCTGCCTGGAGTGAGCCAGAGGCCTGGTGGCTCCCCAGCAAGGGAAGAACCAAAGGAAGCCAAATGTAGAACCAAAAGGAACCAAACGTAGGATGGTTTATCCAGAAAAACCTTTCCATGTTTTAGGTAACACAGAAGCTGTGGGTGAGATGGCCACTACTGTGCAGCCCGGGATGAAGCACAGATAAAATTATATCCGTGCATGGGCAAAGCACATAAAAAATCTTAAAAATGAGACAGAGAAACAACTTGTTCAATGGCAGCTGCAGGCTGAATCTGACAGCCAGCACTAGAATTTGTCAGGAATGCCAGGATTAGCACTTCATTTCCTAAAGAGTTTTGAGGCCATAAGAAGTGGAAGCAAGTGAGATTTGGCCGTGCTTTCTATCACAGGCCTCTGCTATGCCAGTAGGGCAGGAAAGGGCATAGTAGGATCTTGCATTTTGATGCTGCTCCTGTGACTATCAGAATAATTCAGCCATTTTCCTCAGGTCACCGCTGCTGTGCACAAGGTTAAATTGCCTTCACATACATCACCTAGGTAGCGTTCCATCCACTTTATGATGTCAATACCTCGCACCGTGTCCTCGAATATATCAATCTGGAAGAGAACCAAAGCTGGTGGTGAGCAGCCTTGCGCCTTTCTGGCTGCAAGGATATATTTTGAGTGTCAGGTTTTAGCTTTCCATCACATTCAGTTTGCAGAGCGTGCGCTGGGCAGTCAGGCAGGGCACCGACACTGGCTGCAGCAATCCAGACTTGGGACCGAGCAGAGGTGGAGGACTTGCCAGTGCTGAACGCAGCCATCACCACCCACTCCCTGCACACTCAGTGAGCCCAGGAACTGGCACTCAGGGACTGTGACCAATGGAGTAATTATTAACTTCTCCAGGCTTTTGATAGAAGAATTGTGCTCCACTCTCAAGCCTTTCTTTCTTTTTTTTTTTTTTTCTTTTTAAAAGTAGAGAGCACATTTGTTTCCCTGTTTGGGGGCTATTTTGCTGTATTTTTTTTTTCTGTAGCAGGCACCAAGGATTGCCTGTCCAGCAAAGGTGCTATTAATGAGCCTTCTACTCTGTACCTCCATGACGCCCTGAGCTTTCTTATGAATTGGTCATAGCACAGAGCTGCTGGGGAGAAATATAATTTCAGCCTCTGGAAAAAGTCTTTGATTCATGAAAATAAATAAGCATGGACAAAACCCCCACTGAGTCTCATTCAATTTAACGACAGCCACTTGCTTAAATGCTTTCCTGAACTGAAGCCAGAGCGAAGGTTGAGGGGTCAGATAGCATATGGGCTTGAAATAAGGAAATATGAATCAAGATTTTGACGAATGCTGAATCCTACAGCCTCTATGGACGGGTCCCTTAGAGGGGGTAGTTACGACGAAGCAAACTCACCAGAAGTTAAATGAAAATCTGGATGGTTTATGGGATTAGACAGTAGGACACAGGCCTTTTCAAGCCAGTGATTTCTGAATTCCTTTCAAAGGTCTAACAAAGCAAATGAAACCACGAGATGGACTATTTCATTAAGCTGTGTGAAATACACTGATTTTAGATCAGTTTTTAGCAGAAAGGTATTCACATTTGAAGAACCAACGATGTAATTCCTTCTCAGAAAAGAAGCTGGGATGGGATGAATGTGAAAATTGACCTTTTTTAATATTGGTATTACAGACCAAATACGAGACAATGTTAATGGAATAGCTCACAGAAACTCATATTATTGCCTGTCTGGTATCTGGTGTCACTAAATGGAATTTTCCAGGGTCATTATTAAAACACAATTCAAGGTATAAAATTCAGTTAAAATAGGGGCAAATGAAATGGCTAATCATTTAAGCTACAACTTTTAAAACCGAGGCCATTTCATTCCATTTGTAGCCTCCTCACTCTACAAAATATGGTGATAAACAGCAAAGCATTTAAATGCACCGTGTATGCCCTCTGTTTTTTTTTTTTTTCCCCTTTCTTTTTTTTTTTTCAAAATGTGTCTCTTTTCTTCCCTCATTGAAAGTAATTTTCTCCGGAAGGAGTACTTACAGCAGTTTGAAACCCATTTACAAGCAGGAAGTTCACAAATTTCATGACCTCCACCGCTGTGTCCACGGAATAGGTTATAAAGACCTTGCCTAAAAGAGTCCATATGAACATGCAAAGCATTAAAATACACAGTGCAAGGGCCTCCATTTCTGCTGTGCTGCGGGTTCTGCCCACATACGTGCCTCTAAATTGTTTACCAAACGAATTTACAAACCAAGCTTCTCTTTTTTTCCCCATCCCTTTGGCATATGTGAGGTTGGGCCCTCACCCAGAGCTCGTACCACCTAGCCCCAGCTGCAGCCAGCCTCCCCAAAACCTCACTGACCCAGCTGAGAGCTGGAGGAGCCCATACAGGTGCTGCACAGCCTCCCCTTACAGCAGCAATAAGCTCCTGTGCAGGGCAGGATGGAAAGCTGAGGACAGTCACAACTAGGTCCTTCAGGCCAGAAAGTTGTCATGTGGGGCTTTGAAAGGTCATGTGAAAAAATGAAGACTAAAGGAAAAACTGAAACCTCAGGAGAGATGCGGAGGGACCTTAGCAATGGCATCTCTCACTGGCTGGCCAGCGTGGCATTAAGAAGGAAGCCAGCTTTTCTGAGACTTGACTTTCCCAGAAGAGCCGAAGAGTGAAAGTGTTTCAGGGGCTGGTGGCAAGGAAAGAAGCTCAGCGGGTGCTCGTGACGCCCTCGGCCCTCACCGTGGGCTTCTGAACCAAAGTCGTCTCCACTCACCAGGTCAGGGAGAAACTGAGGTCAAGACTTGACATTTTTGTCTGGTTTGGGACAGGCAGAAACACTTTGTCCCTAAGGCTTTGTTTGTTATTAGTCTTTTACTGTAAGCCTGAGTGCCTCCTGCCTCAAAGGGACATCCTGTTTAGCAAGAAGTCATGAAAACAATCTAAACGGTATTTATTTTCAGTAAACAAAATAACAAGCAATTAATGACAATTATGTTTTCGGGATTCAAGGGAATAATTCCATTCCACCAAACACGAATGCTCACACCCTACAGATGTGATGACATCCAGTGTTTTCCTTTCTTCTTGCCTTTGTGTCTTAATGCTGCTACCCCCACTCTGTCCCCCGAGCTTTTCCACCTAAGGCTGTGAAGCTGCTCTGTGAAATCTCGCACAGAACAAATTTGCTAACCACTTACGCAACTCCTCCGGCAAATTGCTGGTTCTCAGAGTTCCCTTGGCTGCAGGGTTACTCAGAGGTCTTGGGACAGCAGCTGGTGATGGAAAATTGTCAGAAGGACAACAGCACGCTTCATCCGGGCCACATGCCTTGGGGGGTAGCTGACCATGAGGTAGCTGGTTGTAGATCTGGTTTCTACAAAGAAAAGCAAGAGAGGATTTAAAAAATACTTCTTTTCAGGTAAAATTCAGGTTTTTCTTTTTAATAACAAACTGAGAACTTTGTCTGTGTATTAACTAAGAGAAGTTCTTGTAGAAATGCTTGACTTGGCATTTCTACTTACTTATTACAGCATCTTCTGATCTGAGCCCTCTTGATACCTTGGTGACAGTCTACCACAAGACATAGTTTATTGCAGAAGCAACATTAGCCACAGGAAGTAAACGTACCTCGTAGCTGAAAGCTGCTCAGTTTGCAGTTAACAAAAGAGCAAAGAGCATTTCTGAGCAAGAAATAATGCTGTGCCATGGATGTTGTTGCACACATACCAGAGCAGAATGGCACTTGTGCAACCTCTTCCCATTATCTTCGTGAGAGCTCCAATTTTCATGGCACGACAGCTTTCAGGATGTCCTGTGCTGCTAGGTGGGGAGCAGGAAAATGGGGGTACAGAGCACTCCAGTTCCAGCTGTGGTACAGCTCGGAGTATCTCCAGTTTTGGATAGAACTCAAAGTTTTTCTAAAGGGAAAAAGTTCAATTTAACCAGCAACAGCAGATCCAACAAGGATTTGTCCTGTTAGGAATCTCTGCTCTGGACCTGCAGCAATCTTGTCTAATATCTGCTCTACTGTAACAAACAGAGAGAAAGGGGTGCCTACAGGAAGCTTAGCAGTTCTTGTCCTACTCTGCTTTGGGTTCACAGTTGAAGTCACTAGGAAAGAAAATCTACACAGATTTTTTACATGAGGTGTAATTTGAATCTGCTGGGCTGAATCTGTTGGATGAGCGTTAGGTTTCTCTGAGGGCTTTTCCCCACAGAGCAGTGATATTTAGTCAATCAAGCCCACTCTCTTTTTTTCTTTGCCTTCCTTAAATGAACGATGACAGTCTGGGCACAGCATGTTTTCTGTTGTCACATTAAGATTCGGTTTATTCATTTTGGTACAGATGTTTTCTGTTACGAAATACTCTATAGGCAAATATTACCAACATATATCTGCCGTTCCTGGAATCAGCACACAGACACCAGCAACGTAGCCACAAGACAGAGAGCGGGCATTGTGGATTTCTTTTAGCAGAAGGAAGCACCAAGAAAAACAACATACACCTCATCAAAGGCCACAAAAACAACCCTGTAGTTAAGTTACAGACCTTCCCGAAACTTCACCTTGTCTAACAAATACTCCAAATAACAAATACTCTTTTTAAATACTCTTTTTAAATTTTACTAATGCAGAGGATACCTGCTGTTCCTCAGTGTTTCTACATTTTCATACAATGAAAATGTGCAATTATCTCTGCTTCTGCTACTGACTTATCATGATGTCACGTTGTCCATCCTGCTTTATCCTGCCTGTTCTCTTAGTTTTCTGCCATGACCGTGTCACGCAAGTGGACATTTTCAAACAGGGATGCCTGTAAGTTTAGCAACCTTTAATCTCCTTTGTCACTTAAATAAAAGCAGCCTGCTTTTCAGATGTGATCCCTACAGCTTCAATTTTACTTCAGGCAGCCGGGTCTGGAGAAAGCCTTGCATAGATGATATTTCCCGTTTGTTAATGATGCACTTATAATGGGAGGGAGATAGGAGGCACGGTAAATTAATATTTGAAAAACAGTCCAAAAGCCCCAGATGAAAAGTGCTAGACACGATGTGCTTTATTACTACATGAGAAATCATAGAAAATGCTGCAAAATGCAAGGTAGAGATATATCAGTGACAGACAAGATTTTCTCCATTTTTCTCTGCACTACGGAAGAGATAAGAAGGAAATTGCTGAAAGCCAGTGATTGAGGCAGCCCGGGCTGGTACACCATAGAGCTGGAGGCTGCAGCGAGTCGCCAAATTGACCTTTGCACTCGAGCAGGAGAGCTCTAAAGTTTCACCCGAAATATTTTCAGCCCCTCTTTAACTCATCAGCCCCATCTCTAACTTTCAAGTGTTTTTCTTCCTTAATGCATGAGTTTCAGGGTGTGCTGTAACAACATATCGGGTAACTGGCTTTGAAACTCTTCAGGGTAAGGTCAGGTCCCTGCTGCGTGTAAAATAGCAAATGAAGAAAACTGCCCAGCACT